CGAGGAGCACAGAAAGGCTGGCACACCTGCCCTGCAACCAGCAGTGCTTCCAAAACCTTCCCACCCTGAGCAGCCGAGGGTGCCGGAGCCCTTGGGCCCTCCGGCGCATTGCCGCACGCGCGGCAGYGGCACGCRGGAGCCCTCCGGATAATCCGCGCGYRCYGRGCTGCCTGAWCGGAGCCCTCGGGAACTCGTTCACCACCTCAAATCCAACTCATTCACCACCCTGGCCGCACTCACTGCCGCCTGTGCCCACCAAGGCGAGCACAAACACGGCAGGCATGGAGCGCTCCCGCACGCGGRATAAAAGGGCAGCAGTTCGGAGCCCTCGCAGGAAAGGCCCGGAGAGAAACACGACTCCACTTCTCCCGCTTAAACCGTCTGCTGCCGCCTGGGCCAACGTTGTGCACAGCAAGAAGGCCACAGGAAATGCTGGAGTAAGAAAAGCCACCGAAATTCAGAGTTATTTATAGAGAAGATTACTTGTATTGGTAACTGAACCTTGAAAGACTTGAGTTGAGGCAAGGGGGAAAAAGACCAGTCAAAAAGACTGAGAGATGACAAAGCAGCCTCCTCCCAAGACATAACTGCATCACATGAAAATAGGTTTTTATTAGTAGCTATCTTTGTCCACACGTCTACCTTTTATTAAAAAAAAAAATCTTTTTTTTATATATATAAAGATTTATATATATTTTAATATATATTTTATATATATATATAAATATATTCCTGAAATTGCCACCTCTGGGGTTAAAAGAATTTCTGAACAAGACAGCTAACACTGACRTACAAGCACATTCAGCTCACACCAGACAACAGTTAGAAGTTCCACTTTACATGTCCATTTTGGTGACAAACACATCCAGGTAAAAAAGCTGGGATCCTCAGAAAGATCAGAGCCTTCAAAATTTTTCTTTAGTCTTACACTGGCACTTAGCAAATCAAAGCCTCTTCATCACATTCCACCKCCAAAGGGCATGTAATCGTGCTATACATTCCTTGGGATCAACCATTAATGTGCTTATTGTAAACACACCTTAAAAGCAAGGCTCTCTTTCTATTATAAATGGATAAAAGTAGTAAAAGACTGTTTTAAATCTCAATAAGTACATAACGCTAATCATATTGTAGCTCACCAAGTTGCTCAAGACTGGAATTTTTCTGAGAATTTCCAAATTAAACCTTCCTACCATTCAGGCCTCAATTTCTGCAATTGCCCATGTAAAAGGCAACAGAAAATTACACATTTTGAAAACAACCTGGCCACTATAAAAAATCCATTAGAGATAAGACTTGGGCCACTGGGCTGCAAATTACCTCCCCTGCTCAAATCAGTCACTGAACTCATTTCCTTCTCTGAATAAACAAAGATTTTACTGCTTTTTCCTACCCACTTTTCTACTAATACCCACAATGTGGTTATAGTTTTCTTATGCCTTTTTTGATAAAGAGGYTTAGATTTTTATTTCTTTTTCCAAGATTTTTTTCCAAAAAACAAACCACTAGTCCCTTCATTGCGGAGAACAAGGTATCCGAGATAACCAGCATGACCCTTTCACAGAAGGCAATGCCTTTGGGGCAARAAAACTGTATTACACTGGTACTTTTTTGATAAGTAAATTTAAAAAATCCATAACAGTTAGCTATCTGCTATCTTTTAAACAGTTTTAGTTCTTGGTTCATGATGGGCAATGCTCAAAGTGCTTCAGGGAAAGAAAATAAWAGTATTGAATTTCTTACTTGTTTCACTTCTGATTTGTTTCTACTGTCTCCACCTGGCACTCAAAGGAAGTCCTCCAGGTGAGGCATAAGGTAAAAACTAAAGCACAATGACTGTAGAATTAATACACAAACAAATAAACAAAAAAATTCTGCAAAATATGAATCTGATTACTTACAGATCCAGTTTATTATCACTATCTTCAGACTAGATTRAACGAAACTCTAGTTTCCTCCTTCCAAACTACAAGATAGCTCTTTACACACCAAGAAATCTAAACGCTGACCCTAATAACGAGAAGTTATATAAGTGCATGATTTTTTGCCGTGGAAGGTTCCAATGTATCTTTAAATTTATCTTGCAATTAATATTTATGTGATTTTGCTTTTATGCTCTGATATTTTAGGTTTAAGGTCTTAATATCTACAAATGTATTTTATTTTTATTCTATCTTCTACAATCAAACTGCACTGACAAATTTCGAAAGCTATTTTTTTTCTAAACATACCACTTCAGTAATTTCAGGATTTTTCTTGCTCATGTTACAAAAAYAATAGAAATCTCACCAGAATGATCATGAAATAAGAAAATGGTTTCACCCATCACTGATTCCAAAATAAGCTAGTACAAATCTTAAGCTGATAAATGTCACATTGTTAATTAAGCAGGTAAAAATGAGGACTCTACATTTCATATCTGCCAGGTATATTTTCCAGCTTAACTCTTCAGAACTTAAGCCCARTAATAGTCTGCCTTGCGAGAACACACAAATAGTCAGTATTTCAATTATCTTTATAATAGACTTCAGTTACACAAAAGGAATTAGCTCTTTTAAAAAAAAAGACATTTGCATAAGTCTTTATCATATACGAATCCCCTCTAGTATTTTTACATTCTAATACCAGAGAATTGGCCGAAGCATGGATTCCTGCTTCAGCAGGTATCATGCTAGAGTTGAAAGAAAATAATCATCCCTYGCCTCGGGAAGCACAGCCTGATGTTATCACTGACACAAACCTTCTGCCACAAAAAGCYCACATTTATAGTGGTAAAGGAGGCTTTATATTTTCCGAGTCTTAGGCGAAGATAGACCAACTTTATCCATAACCTTAAGAGAAATGAGTAGTCTGCCTTTTCTTTTAGGGGATGTTAGCCAGTAGATCCTTGCTCTGAGTATTCAGAGTGATCTGAATTTGGCAAAACCACACACAAAACGGTCTTGGACAGCAAAGCTGCCTTTTCCAGGAATGTATATCTTGAACACGCTTGACAATGTCTCTAAATTACAGAACTATTATGACTTTGAAACACACACAGAGCTACACTGTTTCTACTTCCACGTTTTGAACTCCAKCTGAATATGCCTTTATCTTTAAAATCTGGGATATTGTTTCTGCTTCTTTTTTATTATTATTATTAAAGTTAGATGTCAAAAGAACTATCTCCATGATCTTTTAACATGGCCTCATTCCAGGTTTATAATCTTTACTTAATCAGTAAACATTACCTCTTTGTTATCTACTTAAGCTTTTAAATACAAGATTAACTATTAATGTATTAATTATAAATCTGCTTTTCTTTATGGAAAACRTGCTTGATCCTGTCAGCCTGTAAGAAAGAAAAATCATTTTACTTTTTCAGCTAGTTCAGCTTCACCTTTTCTACTGTTCTAATTTTTGACCAATGTGAAACTCCACTGGTTATAGACACCAGAACACAACCCAGCATTGATGGAGAGGAGGACTTATTTCTTCCGAAGGCAGAAATACCAGCAAAGAGGTCATGAGACAGATTCTCTGCAAACCCACGGACAGCAGCACGGGGCAGGGACCACCTCTTGACATGGCAGGGAGGGACCTTCACCTCAGAGTGACAAGCACTTTAATAGCAGTGGTAGCTGCTGGGTCTCCTCAYGCACAGCCACTGGGCACCTCACAGAATCACAGGATGGTTGAGGTTGGAAGGGACCTCTAGAGATCATCCAGTCCAACCCCCTGCTCCAGCAGGGACACCCAGAGCACRGGGCACAGGGCGGCATCCAGGCGGGTTGGGAAGATCTCCAGAGAAGGAGACTCCACRGCCTCCCTGGGCAGCCTGTGCCAGGGCTCTGGCACCCTCACAGGGAAGAAGTTCCTCCTCACATGGAGATGRAACTGCCTGGGTTTCAACTTGTACCCATTTCCCCTTGTCCTATCACTGGCCACCACTGAGAAGAGCTTGGCCCCTTCCTCCCTGCATTCCCCCTTCAGGTACTTATACACGTTCATCAGATCCCCTCTCAGCCTTTTCTTCTCCAGAGCAAAGAGGCCCAACAACTCACGCCGAAGGAGAGCGGTTTGTTGCACGCCCYGGGTTTCCCTCGCCGCACAACACGCACCCCTCGCCAACACCAAGACACGACRAAAGGTTGGACTAGATGATCTCTAGAGGTCACTTCCAACCTTGAACATTCTGTGATTCTGTGAAAAGGCTTCGGCGCAGACCGTGTCCTGCGGTTCAGCAGCCCTGAGCACAGAGGCAGCGTTCAGAGAGGGTAGACGTCTGCTCGAGCAGGAGCACTGCTTCCCTGAGGCTGGGCAAGCCGCACTCCGGCACACTTGGAGTCCTGAAACACGCTCCTGACGATCAAATTCTCTTCTCCAAATACAAAACCCTCATTCTTACCAACTTTGCAGGAACTGCATAAACACAAATATCTACGGGCACTATTGTGCTCAAAAGTATGTAGCTCGTGATCACTTTTTTTTCCCCATCAGATACATGAAATAAAAACACAATTAAAGCTATTTTTCATTTTGCTATGAAAACCCTTTGTACTCTACAAGCCAAGTAATGAGAACAAACTGTTCTCAGGCACCAAAGGAGAGTGACCGACCACTAATCTGAAGTAAAATATATTACTAGCAAGCTGACTTGTAATGGCAATTAGAATCTCTTTCAGATCCTTTCTCCCTTCAAAGACATTTTTAAAACATCTAGTTTTAAAATAAATCTTTATTAAAAAGGCTCCTTTTATTTCCCTCCCAGCACACAAAAGCAGATAAAATAATAGCAGAAAGAAACATTCCCATTACCAAAGAAGACCTCTTTTCACAAATTAATAAAAATAACATTTCAAAAAGATTCTAAAGAAAGCTTGTGTTTGAGTAATTTTCATGCTTGGATAATTAAAGGAAAACATTTAAATAAGCTTTGTGTTATTTAATTCAGAGAATAAAAATGCATTATCTGTTGAATAATAACGTCAGTAAAAATACTTTCATTTATGTACACTTACTGCAATCTCTCTACAGGCCGACATGGATATCCCTGTACCTTCTATTTGCTTCAGTGCATATTCCTTTTCATCTTTTCTGTACACAAAAGGGAAAAAAAAAAGAAAAAAAAAGAGAGAGAGGGGAAGAGTTTAGTGCTGATTTATACCACACCAATAAATACAGATATAATGATTTACTTTAACTTGGTCTATTCAAAGAAACTGAGATCAGGCTTATGCACCTATCTGTTTTATGCATCAATTACAGTAAAATATTAAAAGCAAGTCTTCTTTTAACACAGACCTCAAAATTACAAACAAAACTTCTATACAAATAAGTTTTCTTAACAGATATATCCATTTCTCTCCAAAATCACGCTGATATCTGCGAATGTAGCTATAGCAAGGCACCTGCCCTGCAATTCTAAGACACTGTTCATTGTTATAAGACAAAAGCACACGCTTATTTCATGCTTTTAAATATCTAGTAACTATTTATTTGATTTTATGAGTCACTGACAATCAGCTTTTAAAATAATATCGTATTTTAAACTTATACTTCTTGGAAGAACCCAAACTTCACGGTGCAAGTTGGGATTTGCCAGGATACAAGCAGGGAAGTGCTGTAAAGGGCTGCCGGGACTGACCCCTCCACAGTGTATGAGGTTTGTGTGCCCAGGACACACGACTGTTCTCCTGAACATGGTGTCACTCCTTTAAATAACCATAGCTTGAAGTAATTTCTAGGAAAGACCAAACAGGACAAGAAGACCAAGTACCACCTCAAACGCTTCAGGGTGGAAGCCAACCAACCTACTGCCCACGGTTAGCAGCAGCTGCTGGAGGAGCATCCGTTTTGGACCTCCTTTCCCACCATCACTCACAATTCTGATGCACGGGACTCACCAGTTACAATTCCCAGCCGTGCTCCACAGCACACAGAGATACAAACCAGAAGTGACAAAAGAAGCTGTTGTTTTGTTGTCGGGCATGTTTTGAGCCACCTTTAATTGCAACGTAGCAGACAAGCTTGCAAAGCAGCACCCAACACACTTGTGGGACACCGGGCTTYGTGAATGGTAAGGAAGGGGGGTGATGGTTAATGAACTACTAAGCTAAAGTGAACAGGTATCACGGATGCCACATTCCAGCTCTCCCATCTAGATCCCCCACAGTCCCAATTTCTAAATGCAGCCTCTTTTAAATACATAYTACTTACTAGTTCTGCCAGAAATGCGAGTCTATATGAATACTTTTACTAAAGGTTCTTATTATGTAAACATAATAGCTGTCTAAAGTGCTTTCCCAAGGGATCCCCATCAAGCGATATTTTAAAACACTATTTCCCGTTTAAGGGTAACCTCAAGATATTTTGAGGGAGAAATACATTTGGAAGTTCAGCCCCCAGTCAGCTGGGGCAGTCTGACGAGATAACGCAATTCTGTTCGCTCAACAAACTCTTTGCTCTTTATGTATTAAATGGGTATTAAGTGGCCCAAGAAAAAAAAATAGGTAATTGATTAGCTATTTCTCCACTCGGAAGAGCTCAATGAGTTAGGCAACACCCCAAGTTATAAGCCTAAGCCTGGGCAATAGGTGGCGGAGGCCCAAGTCCAGCGGAGCCGCGTTTCGCCCAGGCACAGGCAGGGGCTCTGAGGGTGGCAACGAGCCCCACTGAGCTGGGGCTCAAAATGCAGCCTGAACACAGCCGAGAAGAAACGCTGCTCCTTAGCAAGGCTGCAACTTTATGTATATTATTATAGCTTTTCCAAATGCATGCCTTGGAATGTAATAGATAAACAGGGCGCATAYCGCGTGCCACCACCACGAGGCTCATCTCAGGGGTCCAAGTCCTCCTAGCCCAAATGACAGGGAATACGAACCAAGCATTGCTTCCAGTTCCAGAAGCAGCRCAGCTCATGGGATTTCATTAGAAAGGAGCTCTTCTTCAGAATTGAAATCGTCAATATAAGGTAGGCCCCATCCTCAAAACCTTCCCGACTCTCCATCAAACTACCAGAGGCAGCGTCCAAACATGAGGGCCCTCAGGCCGACCAGTAACAGTCCAGGGCATCTCTTTATCATCAAAATAAATACATGGCAATAAARTGATCTTTCTGCCCGAGTTTTCCTCCCTCACTAATAAAGATCCCATTCCAAAAGCCCTTAAGGGTTTGGGGTTTTGTCATAGAAACAGTGAAAAGGAAAATGCTGTCAACAAAATTCTACTCATCTGGCTTAGGTTCATAATACAAAATGTTCAGTATTCACTCCTCATTTCTTCTCCTGGGTGACACTTTCAGCTTTCATTTCCCACATTTTAGAAAGAGCAAAAAAAAATTATCAAGTCCATCTTGTAAGTGTGCAGTTGAGGACCCCMAAAATAACTAAAATATTTCAAAGAAGTTGAAGTACTTTAACTATTGCAGCTGCACTTCAGAGTACTTCCCTCACAGGAGGTATTAGAACCCCTTTTATAAACAAGCCAGTGAAAACATAGAAACAACTTTCTGAAGACCATAAGAATAACCAGAAAGACTTGAAGTTTCTGTATGGCTGAACTGATTGTTTTATCCAAATTATTTAATTTCAAACTTTGAGGATGAGCCCTCTTGAACTCACCTATAATTTAATATACATACCAAAATCATAATTATTTTATCCACATTAAGGAATACTCCCAGAAAACCGCACAGGTGTATAGGAGCAACTGCTGTACCAGCTAATTCAGAGACTCACATCACTCCAATAATTTCCTGAAAATRCACACTAAGATCTTTTGAGAGCAGTGGAGGAGCCCCCAGTCCACTCRGGCAAGCAGCGCTCAGAAAGCCCAACAGTTGTGGCAAATCTGTAAGACAGAACTGGGAAAATCAGAGCTGAGAGTCCCTCAGGGGTAGCACAAGGATGATGCAGACACAGGCAAGCTGCTGAAAAGGGGAAAGGCCGAGACCTGCCCGCAAAAGGTACCTGTAGCCTCCCAGGACCTGCAGGCTTCTCRGCTCAGGGCGTCCCAACAGCTACAGGTTGGGACAGCTGCTTCCACCAAACTTCCCTCTCCTTCTGGCACCTCGGAAGCTCCTTGGTTTTATGTGGAAACGACAGCTCTGCTCAGCAGAAGCAGCGAGAGGCAAATGCACAGGACTACCTGGGTCATAACCGAGAAGGGCTTGCTATATGGTGTATTCCATCTTGTCTTATCATTTCAGTAGCAATTTCATTTTTAGAGATACAGCACATTCACAGCAGTGACATCAGTGCTCACAACAGCCTTCAAAATCTAAAGTCATTTCTGAGAAAGTTAAAGAGCAAAACCAAATAGTTAGAACAATGAAAGTGCATCAAAGGCTGTCCTGCATTCAGCAGTTTCAACAGCAGTAGTTGTGAAATAAAATAAAAATAATAATAAAAAAGTAGTTCTTATATAAAAACACAAGTGTTTTTAAAAAAAAAAAAGAAAGAAAAAAAGCACTATGAATTCAGGAAAATAATTATAAACCATTGGCAGAAAAAAACATTGGCATCCACTGTGCCTGTGGATACGGAACAAGCGTTCATTTTTTCACCCTTTACTTTTAATAGATGACTATAGGAAACGCTGCTCTTCAAAGCACTCAAACAAGCTTAACAGCCTTTATAAAGCAACCTACAGCTAGAATTTATAAAGGGAATTACAAAACACAAGGAAGTATTTTCTGGGAAACTAAGAAGAAAATACTATAACATCCATAGACACGGGCTCAAAGGCGGCAGGTAGTGTTGGCCAATCTGTTTTTTGGAGATTTTATTTAACTCRAGGCATCAGTGAAACAGAAAAGGAGAGGCAGCCTCTAGAAATGCAGACTCTACTTCTACTATAAAACYAAAGTCAGGGCTGAAAAAGGTTGCACAAGAAATTACACGTTACCATGTCTTCTAGCTTGGGAGAAACTTTCTCAACAGAGATACTGTTCTATCACGTAATATTAATGGGTGATTTTTTAAACAAACCTCTGCTTTAGCATACTATGGTTCAGAGATATATAAGCTTCTTGTTTTTYGCTAGGGAATGCAAATAATCTGTGCCTTTCACATACAGCAGCTGCACGACCAGACCAAATACCTTTGAGTCAAAAGGCGAGAGTTTAATAAAAAATAAACATGCTTCAACCAATTTTTATAAGGCAATCTCATAAAACAGAGTTCAGTCTCCACCTTAGTGCCTATTAAGGTAGGAAGCTTGAGGGGGAAAAACATATATAAATATATATATGGGGAAAAAAACATATATAAATACATATATAAACATATATAAAAAACATATATGTATGGGGGGGRAAAAAGGTGACTATCTCCTCTGGAATTACAATTCCAAGTAAAATTGGGGAGCAGAGGCAGGAAAAGACCATAAAAGTACACACAAAAAGAAGCATTCTTTACTATGCAAAATAAAAAGAATTACAGAACAAAAGGAGCATCTCCAAGAAGGAACCAGGCACACAATCCAAAGGACACAACGAGCCAAACAGAAACAGTCTGTTCTACTTTGTATCGTGCTGCTGAATCTTTTACCTCACAAAGTTCCTTATAATCTTAATTTTGAAAACGGGCCTGAAYGCTCCACAGCTCACCAGCTTTACAGCTTTATGATCTACGAGGTTCTCTTAAGCTTCCTTCTCTTACAAGTTTATGCAATTTTAGAAGTTACACCCCTCGCAACCCAGCAGTTCCAAGCACAGCTTGCTAGCTTGTATTCCAGGAATTGCAGGGACTTGTCCATGTCAGGTAGGCGCACAAATGCATGACCAAAAGAAGGCAAACTCGAGCTTCCTAACACAGTGCAGGAACTCTAAAGCCACGCAATTTTTTACACTCAAAAAAAAGACAAGAGATCCACCAAGAGACAGAGAACTTCTCAGCGTTGTTTACTGAAACTAGCAATCCAAAATTAACACTACCGTAAGTGTGGCACACAAAACAAATTATGTTTATAAGCTAGCAGAGCCATTCAAAAATAGAGCAACTGATGGGAACAGCTGCTTACTTTAAGTGCAACTCGCGTGGCCCCCATCGCATGCGAAACACCGGAGAGCAAGGACATGGTGCTGAGCCCAGCTG